TCTTCTCTCCGCTTCGTTTCTCTGATTGTCTGTCCAGATCCACGATTGTATGAAACATACGAATTTAAAGTTCATTCTCGCATTTGACTTATTTGATTCCGTTATTCACTAACGCAATTTAAGTCGTTAATCATATACGAGGGTTGGTGGTATGAATATTTCGATAACAAATCATCATACGATTTAATTGTAGTAAGATTTAGGGCCACTGCCTTGTGGATTAGACCTTTAGGTGTGACCTTTAATAAAACCGCCTGCTTTGGTTTGGGCACCCGGGTAGTACCACAACACTCACGCACATCAATGATAACTGCTACTGGCCTCATTGTTATTGTATGGCGCATATATATTTGGTGCCCTCTTGTACCAGTGTTTATGTGTTCAAATAAAAGAATAAACAAGACTGTACCCTTGAGAGACCAGTTCTAAACTCTATGCTCTGATATACAGTGCGATGGGAATAGAATATTTGTTGCAGTAGTCAAATGTTTATAGGTAACAAATCTTGGAGCATACAGTTATACATGTGAACGAATAGATAGGATGAACATAATTCATTACTCATCACTTCGTGATGTTAAAGGCATTCACAAATATAATATGAGACGATACCGAAATGAAAAATATCTGGTATGATAACATAAACATGATCCCAACTATGTGAATGAGTGTAATAATAGGACAAAAATAACACGAAAAAATTGAACTAGCTCACCGAAAGCAGGAAAATTTTACGTTATTAAATAATAAAAATAGTTCAGTGAGTCTCAAATGTCATAATACGAATGGAATATTCATAAAATCATAATTTGATGGGTGAACGATATAATTGGGTAAATGTCAATACAAACAGCAACAATACTTTGACGTTAGGTGGTAATATGACAACAATGTAATAATCAGAATATGATCATTACTTTAATCGTAACTGAATGATCCGCCAAACAGATCAGTGAGAAGAGTTGACACGAGGACAAAGCACCGATAAGATAATATGATTTAAGCATGTCCATGTCGCTGCCGTACCAGCTCCCCTAAATGCGTCTGACTAAAGATTGAGTCGTTTGAGTTGCCTGTCGACTAAGTCAGCCCCTTAGTTCGTTTATCGGATGCGTAGAGTTCGAGATGTTCATCATCTGCGTAGATTTGCAGGGTGAGTTTAATTCGAAGTGGGGCTTACCACTTTAGTAGTGGTTTGATGAGATAATCGATGGGGTTGTCGATTGAGTAAGCTATGTTGGATCTGTTCGTCGAAGGTACGGAGTGCGGAAGGTTCTTCAACGTAGTTTGAGAGGCTGCGTTAGGTTTGTAGTGGGGTTCAAGAATTTAGTATCCTTATATCTGACTCCAATTAAATCGTATGATGATTTGTTGTCGAAATATACATACCGGCAACTCCCGTATATGATTAACGACTTACATCGCGTTAATAAATAACGAAATTAAATAAGTCAAATACGAGAATGGATTTTGAATTAGTATATTTCAATAACAATCATCATATGACATAACTGAAGTCAGATATCGAGTCACTAAAGTATTGAGCCCGTCGATAGCATTATCACACAATCTAATTGACGTCAAGATATAGGGCCAATAAAGTGATGAGCCCGACAACGAACCTGATGTGATTTAAGTCGATGATCACGGACGAGGGTTGGCGGCATGTATATTTCGATAACAATTAGCAAATGGTTTAATTAGAATCAGATATAGGGATACTGAACATCAAGGTAGTGTTGGAAAGTATGTGATTTAGAAATCAACACTAGTCATATCAAGTAGTAATTCATATCAAAGCGATTGGATTTGTTTGAAGAAATGATTTGATTCTACGTTTTAAAGAAGTTATCAGACATAAACATAAATTACGTGACCTTATTGATAACTGGTTTTATCCCAGGAAAAAATAATTATACCTTGGTAATATGAAGGGCTTGTAAAGACTGTTGGGTTTTATATTTAGTAACAATCAAAATTAGTTTGTTTGTTTTTTATTATCAATAAAACTGTGGCTTGTTTAGCTGGTTTATAGAGATCAATTCAAATAGAAGTGACAATACGAGCTGAAGAACCAGGGTAAACGAGAAATTATTTGATGAAAAACTACTGAAGTCAAAAGTCAACATTTTAGGCTATCAATTGATAAAGCAGTAATTTCCCTACCATAGATCTGGTTCATGATGCTACATTGTCTGAATAATTTTATGGGGCAGTCAATACCGTCGTGAACCAATCAACAAATCATTTATTCATTATAATATAAAGTTGGTTTAAAAAGAGGTGTGTGTTTCTGGCTAAATAATTATTCCGCGTGCGGGATCGTGGATGCGCATTGCTGAGGAGTATCATAACAGGTAAAACGGCTGTCCAATGCTTCCAGGTTATCAATGGTGGTCTAATTTAAGTCAGTTCATAACTAATAAAACTCAACAATCTCTACAACCCTTAACTGTAAATAACAGTATATTGCAGTCACCAGTCAAGTATGTTTTTTGATATTTATAAGGCTCAATAAGGCATAAAACAACAGGGGAATAGCGATTGTATTAGTTATCGATTCATGTGTTATCACGGTGTAAATCTGTTTTTACTATAAAGTAAAAAAACATGCTTGACCGTAACAGCACTAAACACCTGTTTCTTTAGCTTATGATTGTTCCAAAGTGTGCACCACCTAAGGAATTGAACTCAACGAAGTTTCAAAGTCAAGGTGATACTCATTTAGGTCAATCAATTGGAATTAAATCCCCCTTATTTTCAACTCGAATTCTTGTTGTGTTATGGTTATATGGTCACATAGGAACCAAGGTTATATACCAAGAGTCATTGGTATATCAGCCATAGTGGTTGTGATAAAATGAGTTTCTGTCAGATTATGTGATCAGTGTAGCATCTAGCACTATATAATGCCTACATTGGTTGTCTTAGCTTTTGAGTCACACTTTGACCTTGTCAATTATTCGCTTATAACATTGATTGTTTTTATATGAGCGTATGTTTATCATTGACCTTATCCATAGCATGTCTCATTTTTGTCTGCTAAAAAGAGAGTTGGCACGATTGCTTTCTCCAGTCTATTTCGTTTCACTTTCCCACTTCTCATTTTTTTATGTCTGTCTGGTTAAACGAGTGCATGAAATGAACTCATCCACTTTAGTCCGTATTTAACTTCTTATTATCGCCATCACTAAAACGGGATTAGCCTAAATGTAATATACATTTATATTCATGGCATATTCATTCGTTTTGTTTTTCAAATTGGAGTCAAATCGACATAGGCCAATAAATTGGTGAGCCACCATATTATTGACAAAAAATGATTAAAATTTCTATTGTATAGACTGAAGTAGGATATATAAGCGAAGAATATTTTCCTGTTGTCAATCAGGCTTTACTCTTTTAAATCCAGTTACTTTATTACTACTACACATATGCACGACACGCATTTAACCAAACAAGAAAATCTAAGATTCAGTGATATGGATTCTACAGCTAAAAATTAATGGTAACACATTGTCATAGTTATAACAATAGTGACAATACTAACGACATTATAATAAAATAAATATTTCTATATTCAAAGTAGGTCAAAATATAAGCGGAAAAATTAGATTGATTATCAATAACATATTAAGAGGTCAACCAGACAAAACAGACACAATTGAAACGTTAAGGCATAAAGAAGGTTACAATAATTGTAAACTATAAAATTCAAAAATTTCTAGAAACGTCTATATGTATTATTAATAATTATATGCCGACTAATGATTAATTCAAGGAGGTGATTCCAAAAGCTCTAGTGAGAAGCAGTGACCAGTGGTGTTCACCTACCAATAGCATTGGAAGACGAAAATACAGTATCGTAAATTGATTGAAGTCAGACATGTTAACCAGGAGAAGCCAATTCAATAAGTTGAAGACAAAATGCTCGACAAAATACCTAGAGGTCTCGAGTTACGTCCTTGGTGAGGTAGTGGATGTATATAGATGGAGAACCGCATACTAGAACGAAACAGCTTTCAAGAGTTTCCCAATTTTTAATGGTTTTCTAACTAAATTATTTCGTGATGTAAATTCTGAAATTCAACAATCTTCATAAACTCCCTTTACTGAAGATAACAAAATCTGGGAAGACGAGTCAGAAACAAGATTATCAGAACAGATTGACTTATTGCTTGTGTGAAATAATTTTAAAGCAGCTCACTTTTACATAAACAAAGCGCTCATGGTCACGATGTTGTTGTTGTTCAGAATGATAATTAAACCTTATCCATATCAACCGACACAACACCAGCACAAAGAAACCACTTAAGCTACAAATATTTGCTTTCATTTTAAATACATCAGTAAAACTTGATGAATTTCACTCGAAGGATCATGATTATATACTGTGGATGTAATATGTAACGTTGATAGTACAAATGACTTTAGATACCTAGGCGGATGAATATAGTACAAAACCTAAATAGCTGAGGTTCTCTGTAACGTTTTCAATGTGTTCTTATCAGTAGTTTCGATCATTTTTTCGTTCATTTAATAGATGAGTGTGACATATCAGGCTACAATTTTCGTTATAGATTTTATTTTAAGCGAGTTAAGATTATCCTAAAATGTCTGTCATGAACATGTCTAGTGTAGAGGTTCCTTGATATGCCAAATAAAAAAACACAAATTTAGTGTACAATAGGGATTGAAATAAACTCTGATGAAAATAACACTATGATATACAGCGTTCAGTTATTAAATTCACAGAAATAAAGCCAAGAGCGTTGGATACAACACACTTATTGAGCATTAAAAACGTTTTTGATAAATTCAACCTATCAAATGTGAAATTCTGGTATATAAAACGACTCATTTCTTAACTATTAAGTTGTTCTTGGGTTAATAATTCAGGCTTGTGAGCAATTATTATTCAGTTATACTGTTTAAATTATTCTAGAATGATTGACTATCAAGTCTACAACAAAATTGCTTTGTTATAACACTTAAAAATTTAATTCATTCATGCTTGGAAAGCCTTATTTTACCTAACATTTTTACTTTTGTTAATAAATTTAAGTTTCGACAAGTGTAAAGAGGCTCTTGAAAACTTTATAATACATATTACCGCACTGACCTTTGTTATTACATAATTAGTTAGTTTCCCCTGGTAATTGATGCTTGTCATGTCCTGATATCATAGTTATTGTTATAGTAAACGGACTTGTTATAATATAATTTTAACTTTTTAGAATATTAAACTGATCATGAAACTTCATGTCTTCTCTTTTTAATCACGTAAGTGATTATTATCGTTGTTAACGTATTGTAGGTAATAATGGTCATGATCTATTGAACAAGTATATCCCTCTGGTATTGGAAAACGTCTTCTAACAATTGATAATTCAGAATAATTGTAATTTATTTCAAAGCATAAAAGTACGTCATGTACTTATGACATAAGCCGATCAATGCTTACTTTTTTGAGTAAGCCAAAATCATAAAATAACTTGAATGAACATATATAATATTGAAGAAGTAGATTATGATCAGATTCATGATTTAGAATTCTACATATATGATGATTATATACAGTTTAGTAATGAATCAACATTACATGTCCTTAATTATAAAGAAACACACAAGAACTTACGTAACAGCAACTATACGACCACATGGGCTGAAAGCTAAGCTACGAAATTTAAGATTAGTATGAGTTTGGAGTGCAAGTTCGAAATAGATCTTCAATGGAGAATTGACAGGAGCCAATGGCCATAAACGAATACATCTGTGGAGGAGAGTGGGAGCAAACAAATACATGAATAAAAGACTGTACATTTCCGTTGTTATATTGAACTGTAAAAACAATCACTGGATTATATATGGTAATTTTCTATTGAAAAGTATTGAACACATGAGATATTTGTATGCACATATGATATACTGTATAGAGCATAGGTAATAATTTTCGAATAGTGTTAGAAGTATCAGGCGAGTTGTCACTTCCTGATCATCCATACCGTTTAAGGATAATTCTTCTAAAGAAATATGAAGATAAAATTGGGTTAGGAGTGGTCTTGTTGACCAGGAAGTATGATTGCATTACCCAAGGAACATCTGGTTGAAAGTGGTCATAATATGTCCTTTCTGTGTATAGTTTTAGATGCATTAACTATGTACTTTTAAGACTATCGTCTGTAACGTCAATTCGTGGGACAAATTAAGGTATGGTAATGTTAAGACTGGCTTTTTCTAACTTCCGCCTTTTGTTGTGTGAAAACAAAATATATGTACATATTAGTTGTCTGGATGAAAACACCTTACTGCCATTACAGCCTAGTGCGGTATGAGCTCGTCTTCGAAAGAGTTTGTTGCTCTTATTTTTAAGAGTCTCTTCAACTAACTTGTCAGGTATGGTGGGATCTAAAGGAACGAGTGCTTCAGGTAATATGGCTCGATTGGGTCATTATGACAAGCAAGCCTACTACCAAGCCAAAGTCTTAATTACGGTTAGGAGAGGAAAATCAGGAGGCTATTCGTTCCGAAGCACCATTTTTCTACTTGATTATGCTGTGATTTGATAAATTACCGAGTAAATTGAACTAATGGTCTAACATACATGTTGTAAGTCTCTTAATCTTCAGTCGAATAGATTCAAAAGGATAGAACCACTAACAAACTGGCTGATGCAGTTACGAGGAACGTAGAAACTGGCATATATGTGTATCAGTCGAACTTGCCACACCATATCACTACTGAGAAATGAAATTATCAAGACAAATACAAAAGTAATAGAAGTAGTAACAGTATCAGCATTAATAGGAAAGATTAGGTATAGAGAATATGATTCAAGGAGAATGGATTCTTGGAATGAAAACTACTTGCCTATCTTCGCAAACGGTAATAAAGTAAAAATCATCTGGGGACAGAGATAAACCGTATATATGATGACCATTTGATCCACCACGAAGAGGAATACTGGGTTCACGTCCCATATGCCTAAAAGAACAGAAAAAAAACAAAGATATTAGTGATGTTTTAAGTGGATTACTATCGTACAACTGAACACAAATAGACGAATAGTTGTTTCAATGAGTAATGTGCACTCAGACTTCAACTTGATCGATAGAATAAGGTTAACACTAATGTCTAGACAAACACGTCATGGACAACTATTCAACGACCAATTAATGTAAGCATCTTAGTTCTACGGAACAGTCAAAGCCCTTATAGTCCAGTGATAATGTCAGAGATTGTGAAGCTGGATAAAGTGAGTTTTAGTCCCACAGGGAGTATCGAATCCCTTAAATTCGGAGGTATGACACGCTGGTGAATTTTAAAGAGCACGAAACCTATTTTTTCGACTACCCTCAATCATTTAACATCAGATCTCAGCTATATCAGATAAGAGGTTTCAACCCTATTTCACTTAATGCACCTGAGTAATAGTAAGCACTATACTTAAGCTACGACTCAAATTACGGTGGATAGACATGTACTTTATGATTGCCTTACAGGAATTATTACGAACTAATCAATAAAAGTCCAGGGCAGTGCAGTTAAGTTGACTTGTCATTGATTAATGAGTGAATTCAAGTAATTCAGAGGCTTTGAGTTGAAAAAAACAGGCATGAATGCATAGATAACCAGAATATTTACCTGCTCTTATGCAAATTATGTTGGTAGCATAAATCAATGTAAACCGACTCAATTTATGTTTGTTCAAGATCAATTCTTGATTAAAATTTTATTATTAGCAATATACGAAGATAATAAACATTGTTTTGGCCTACAAATTTCAATATGAATACTGGATCATTATGCACTACCGCCATTTGGTTGACCTACTGATGACTATGCGAAAAAAATAAACAACGTGGGAGATTATGAGGAGTTGTTTGACAAAAACCACATCAAGACCCTTGTAGGCCCAGTGAAATATCACTGGGCTACAGCCAAATCATCCGGCAGACAGGTCGCTGAATGCCAAACGGTTAGTCAATCCTCTTCAAGATCATGAACAACCGACACACATCAATTATTTACATGCCATGGACAGGGGCGTGAGGCAGTGATTTATCCTTTTACTTCTATAGCCTGTTAATACTAATATATGCTGTTGCTTATTAAGAGTATTTATTCTAGCCAGTCACTTAGGAAATTGATTCGCCTGGTTATCACGACAGCATAGTCCAAGTTAATTATTAACCGTGCGGCGTTACTTCGATGTACACTAGGTCACACTACTGCCGTCTAACTGGAATAGATCCATAATCATCGGCACAGATCACCTACGTTGGTGATCTACACTCCGGTATAAAAGATTCAGAAAGAAACTGAGTTGTTACATTGGGAAAAATAATTTAGCTTTACGCTTGGAAAATAAGATCTAGTTATATGTCATGATAAGCTTATAAAATTAGATACACGTTTAAATTTCATGACTATTCGAAGCAATAGTTATCAATACTGAACTGTAAATTCACTTTAAATTTAAATGTTACTTATGTTTGAATATTCCATTGGGAAATATTACGAAAAATAATACTGTTTGCTCAAATTATTTTGGGTTTCGAATTGTCATTATTTTGCGTCGGTTTTCTCACTATATTACTCATTCTATTACAATAATTCGACTACTTAATTTTCTTTATATCCGTTTTATTAATTATCTCATTAATTTTACAAATAATACTAAACTTTATACTGAATTACTTAATTTCAAACTTAATTTTTACTTTCAATTGTTGAGATCATGAGTCAATTGAAGCTAGACCACTATGGAAAACCTGGGAGTACTAGACGGCCGTTTCGTCCTATTGTGGAACTCCTCAGCAGTGCGCACCCACGACCACACCTCGCGGGATTCAAACCCAGGACCTATCAGTCTCGCGTGCGAGCGCTTAACCATTAGACCACTGAGCCAGCATCCAACGGTGTTAATTTCTAACTTCAACTAATCCACGAAACTGACTCATGATCTGAATTATTGAAATTACTAAAATCTCCACAAAACCCCTTCTGATATTAATTTTTACTGTTATCCTTACGTAACTAGTGGTAATGATTAACTGATTATGTAATGTTTCTTAAGTTTTAATTTTGCATCCATTGAGTTAGCATATTTAGAGAAAATATTGAGATACATAGGGTATTTGGTGTTCATTGTACAATTTAATTCAAAAAAGAACTTCTGTATAGATATTAATGTAGAGCCATGAGATAAAGAACTAATTAAAAAGAAATCCTTTTTTCAATTTAACTTATATTTTTAATGTCTTCACAGGGAATATTTGATCCTATTTGCATGAAATTTTTCATTCTTTAACAATATTTGGTTGTTTAATATTTCAATTGATTACATACAAATTTTTTCAGTGATAAAATGAATTCAGTTATTTCGTGGATGCTCGTCAGCCGCTAACAATCTGCATATAATTATATATGCCCGATGTATATACTTTATGTCATATTAACGAAGATTAGTAGAATAACAACAATAGAATGGAATCTACTACAGTAAAAAAAAGCCAGTTGTTTGACGGCTTAATTTTAAAGGAGATGAAACAGATGGAACGATTATTTCTAGATAAAATGTTGTATTCAAGACGATGTATCTAGCCGCTAAACTAGTTTCACTGTATCAAACACATTGCTCATCGAGACAAAAAATGAACAAATCCCCACCTTATGTTACCGCCAATTGTGTTTATCAGTTTACTTGTTTGTGCCAAAGCACTCATATTCAAAGAACAGAAAAGACGGTTCTTGTTCACATCTCGGAACAGAGCACATTTCACAATAATTGAGATTAAGAGGTCAACGTATTCCCAACAATGCCATTGAAAATAATCAATACCGAAATAATTTCCAATCTACTACGTGGCGCCGAAGCCATCTCAATTTAAGAGTTGGAACGAAATCTGTATACTAAAAACGATACAGTTGTAAATCACTATCCTGGTAAATTTTATTTTTCATGATTCAATTAAGCCACGTTTTATTTGATATTTATAATAACGAATCCTTTTATCATTCTTAGGTCTTTCTGAGCTTTACTCATCTTACTGTACTATTCTATCAAATAGTATGGTTGTTATTACGCAGCTTTGACATCAACATTCATTCTCCAGAAACGTGTCTGCATGTTTTTTTTAAAGAAAAAACATTTTCATAGAATTTTCACATTAAGTGACATGGTGATGTGAACAGAGAAACAAGAAGCCTTGACAAATTACGAAAGCTCATTTTCGGGACGTTATTTCAGTTAATTCAAAGCTTGTAAAACAATAATATTTATTTTTGTCCCTAGTCTGTTCTACACATCATAAGCTTTCGTTTGATATATGATTCACTGTCATAGTCCTTTTCGTTCCAAAGCTATTATAATTTAAACGTATTATTTTGTACCATATTTTCTACCCTAATTCCCGGGGTTTGGATATGATTGTGTTTTCCTAATTATTGTGCGTTGTGGTCGGGTTAGTCATCTATTTATTCACGTATCTTTTAACACCGATCTAAAATCGGGAAATCGGGAATAGATCGAGTAGTGTTCCAGTTGTCTTGTCTTCTCTCACTCGCGTGCTTGTCAGCCAGTCAGGTGATAGTATCGTTTTCTTCTCTCAACCCAACTTCGAACTCACGCGTACTAGCCTTAAGGTTAAGCCGGTCAGCCTAATGCGTCAAGGTCTTAATCTAGATTAGACAAGTTATCTTCAGCACCAGAAGTGGGTAGACAGATCAGGACGTAACACATGGAAATATTTCTCCACGTTACCACTTTATAATACTTCCATGCCTGTTGTCGTTATTCTACTAATCTTCACTGATATGACATAAAGTATGTATATTGGTTATAAATAATCATCAGCTGATGGAAGTTCACGAAATGAGTTCATCTTATTCTGCTATGTTCTTTGTTATTGTTTTGTTCAGATTTTAATGAATACTTATATGTCGGCAAACGTCATTGTAATGCTATTACTTGAACTGAAAGTGAAAAAAACTCTTTAGGGAATAGTGTGGCTTTGTTCCTTTCTTGTGTGTGTGAGTATGGGTTAGGTTGAAACGTCTCCATATTTTCTATTCGTTGGAACTCCACGTGATATGTTAAATCTTTACCTCCCTCCTAACAGCCTGTATTTTTGAAACTCAAGCGTTTCAAATTCATGAGTGTTAAGCAGTCAATAACTTGCAAGTGAATCGAACAACAAGACATAACACCAACTGTTGATCAATATGTTTGGGAAATTACTTACCAGAAACGATGTAAGCATTGATATTCCGGTACAGACCATACAGCACAACATGAATCATAAGAGGCAGTAATTAATAAACTACCATCTTTTGAAAATTTTGCAACTGATATTCGATGATAATGACCAGATCGTATGTAGGCGACTCGAGAAAAAGGAGATTCAGCCTTGACAAATAAAAGAATAATGGGTGAATTAATAACATCAACTCATTCATCAGATACTGCAGTATGAGCCACATTCTGAGTGTAAGGGTTAATGATAGTATCTGCTTGCTGAAAGCAAGGTGAGTGAGATTTAGAGGCTACAAATCGAACGCCCTAACCTCTAAGCCATCACACCAATGGGTACAATGTGTTCACTATCACAACTGCATTAATTGTTCGGCAAAATTAAGATAATCATTATAAGGTGATTGATAATCTAATCCTAATCGAAAAAATGTTAAAAGATGGTGATAGTGTAGTGAACGAGAACATAAGTGGGGACAATCAAATTTATTTGAATACAAAATTACAGAACATCTTAGTAAAATCTGAGAACCATAAAGTAAATAGTTCATTTACAAAACGTCAACCAATAGTCTCAGACTTCATTGTTCATTTCCATACCAATTATTCTTTGTTCTCGATCTCTTTTCTTGGATCTTCTTAACCTTCTGCCTCCAGGCATTTCACTTTCGACTAATGATACATATTACTTATCTGTCGACATCAGTAGCACACTACAATAAAACATACTGGCCTATTCAAATAAATATACAAGCTGAGATTAGGAAGACGTTATCTCACGAATTGGAGGATACCACAATTTTATTGCTTTTAAAATACTCTTCAAGTGCAGGCAGTACATTTGTTTAACTTCCATTTCTAATAATTCAAAACATACCTCGTAATGCCTAGAAGTCTGAGCTACTAAATGGCTTATTGGTTTACATCGTTACTCAATCCAAAATGTTTTGCTATAATCATGTATGTACGGACAACCTTTCTGAATTCAATTTATGATTAAACAGCCCGGATGGTGACTCAGCGATTGAACCTCAGACGCCCGAAATCATACTCTTGAGATCCCCAAGCCATTTCACCCATCGTCTTTGTACCGTTTAAGTACCAGGCTCACATAATCACTTAGTATACATATAAAATCATATGACCGACTCAAGGATAATAAATGTAGTCAATTGAAAAAAAGACACATACACCAAAAAGTAATAGGAGAGTGAAACAGAATGAGTATTTAGGAGTAAGTCATACATGTAAACAGTAATTATAACTTTGAATTACTGGTTATAAAATATACAGAATATGCCACCAACTTCAAACTGACCAAAGATGATGGACATTTACATGATTGTCTGCGTCAATGAATTACATATTAGATAACAGAGGAAGAGATTAATGGTGAATTCGAAATGAAGGACACAAGGGATTATCATTACTACTATTATTATTAACTCATTACCAGGCACAGATTCTTTACTTGGCTACGAGCTACTGTTATAACTTGTGACCTGTGTGCCCTGTTAATGTATAACGTAACGATACCGCTAATTAGAGAACAATGAATCATCGATCGGACCAATGACGCATAAAACCCGTACGAGCAGTCTAGAGTCCTTATTGGTCCTGCTTAGCCCCTAGCCCAGCCTGTTAAGTCCAGAAAACCGATCTCAGCCTCTGCAATAAGAATCATTTATTTCAAACATACGGGGTTTATATACTAATCAAACAGACCACATCGTACCATAAAATAGGAAACAACATCTGTACAAGATTTAGCCCAATGTGACTGTGAATGTGGGAGGTAGTGATTAATAGACAGGGCCTAATTCAAGAATGGTAAGTCGTATAATAAAAGTTAATAAGCCAAAATAAAGCACATAATAAGAGGGACATGAATATGCACAGTTTAGTTGCGTAACGATTATACGATAAAAATATACGCATAGTATTGGTCCATAAATGGATCCCAAAGTTACCATTCATTATTCTTATCGGGACATAACAGCCACACATTAAGTGCAGTCGCCCAAACTAACTACGTGGGATAGTGTGCAAATCTGGGACTTAGTGACTGCTAGTCGAATTCGTTAACCGTCAACGCAAAAAGTAACATCTCCAGATTATTACACTTCATCTTTATCAGTGTAGTCCATTTTTAGTTGGCTTTTAGTGAAATAGAAATAACAAAATATCAACTGTTTAAGGAATGATGAACGACTGACCAGTTATTTATTTTTGTCGCTACATGTGTAACCGTTAAAAATACAAATACAAATACTATATAGATATGCACATTGAATAGATATTACCGATTTCTTATTTTTGATTGCATGTCCACAAGGAGAAATCATGTTTCTTCATGAAAAAAGTGAAACCTGATAATTAGTTTACAACAGTGACTAAATTCATTTGGTACAACAATAGGAACAAATATATTTATTGTGAAATGTTCTATTTCCAAATATTTTATTAGAATCTGTCTCGGAAAGAAGCGAACTTTTAAGCTTGTTCTCTTAGGCCCCATAATGCTAAGCAGGTCAGTTGGAGAACAGTTAGACTAAAAGCAACGTGTCTCGTGGGCGCATCCGTACTGTTGACTGTACAAGGGTGCGACAGCAGCAGCATGTCTCCCTTAGAGAGCCAGCATCTGCAGCAATGCTGTCTTCCCAAAACCGAAGGAAGAAGTTATAAACGGTCGATCCTAAAACTGTCGCACCTTAGCTTACCGTATGGATTTTGGTTTCCGGTGGAAAGGACTTTGAAATGTCGAGATAACACATCAAAAACCTGCTATAGAATTGTCATGCATGACCGGTATCAAATATTTGTGTCCTGAGTTCTGTGATCATCTTCCCAGGTCGCTGAGACCACTACAAATCCATTTTCCATTGTAGATACCCCAAGAAAAAATATGCATCCACAGTATGGCGATTGGAAAGCGAGAAATACTCTTATAGCCCTAGCAACACGTGGCATCACTTCTGCCTGTCTTTTAAACTTGAAAAGAACGACAGGAAAATCAAAGTTAACCATCTTACATCGAGTACAACACCATGGCCTCTTTCACCAGCTAGGAATACATGCCTGCCGCATGGATGCCAAGCAAATGTACATGCTTCACCTTGAATTTCACTGCATGGTTGATCTGTTGGAACAGTGAATTTATGTTGTAATTTCCCGTACATATTACCATCATCCCATAAATCCCATAATCTCACTTCACCACCACGATGTACGGAACCAACACGAAGACTTCCGTCTACAGCAGCTGAGAGGAGATATACAAGGGTACAATCATCTGTCAAGACATATTTGGGGATATCTATAGAAAGACATCAGAAAACATGAACTCAAAGTTGATATGTACAGTTACTAAACTTTAAAAGAAACACAAGTTATAATAAACTAAAATACTAATTTGTCCAACAAATCTCTATACAGAGGTCAAAAAGAATTTATTTAACAAAATTAACCGTGTAGACCCTGGACAGATTGTCTAGATCTACTAACACAGTTCACTTCAACTATAAATAATTCCGTAAAATGATGTAGCGTTTCGGATCGTCTATGACTAGCTTTCTTTCAAACTACTCTCACTACAAATTATATTGTGCACCAAGAAAAGTAGTAGTTGGGCATACGGAATACATATCCTTAACACTTCGATCGGTGAAACTTCACAGCCTTATCAATTGATTGTCAACAAAGCACGTATGGAGAGTGTAGTGATAAAACAAAGCTGATCTAAAAGATGTGATGTTTATGTGGAATATCACTACCATAAATGAAGAGCTGAAACACTTTCTTACGTGGCTTAAGATCCAGTTAGAATCTCATTTTAATATAAGCCTAGGTGAAAGACAATCATGTTCTTCTGCAGTCAGATATATTATAAGTGAAGCGTGGTGAAGAGCGGTGTCCGAAATTTGGTACTGATACACGGTGTGCTATACGCTGACCCCCAACTAACTACTTTAGCAAGAACGAGAGTGATCGAGGAAGTGTACTAGGCTACCGAATGAGATGTACAGATACTCATTCGCACATATACCACTCTATCCTTAGGAAATTGACCCACTGATCCCAATGCAATGCATTTAACCATTAGGTCACTTCTGGTTGCCAACGTTTGGCATTTTGCTGCTTCTGATTCGCTCTCCATATCAGAACGATCATAAGATTGGCATGAAAACAGCCTTTAAATTCTCGAAAATGCATTCCTAAGTTTTGGTTATTAAAACATTTATCATACTAATGTGCTTAGAATGATTTCTCATCATCTTCAGGTCCGTCCTGGTTCATTCGGTTACTGTGTCTTCAAAATTTTGTACTTCTATTATCACCACACATTTACTTGACCTTAATTTGCTTTTATATAAAATTTCTTGACAAGTAAATTTGTGACCAAGTTTCTCTAAAATGTGTTTTTATGAAATACATTACATTTTTCAAAAAATACTTTCACGAACTGATATTATGCAGTCTTCTTTTAGCTGCCTTTAGCTTTCTTCTAACTTATTACACACGACTACTGCACGTCTGGAATGTAGTAACTGGGATGTGCTGTTTAAGTCTAACCCTAACTCAGTTGACCAAAGTTTACAGTCTTAGCTTGAACATTGATATTAATCTCAGAACTACTCAGTCGGTTGTTCTGTTAAACGAAAGCAGTACAGCGAAGCACTTTTTCTTCTTCGTTTCTATGGGACTCTATATAGCTTTATAATCAAACTAAATACACGATACCCAAATGTATAACAAGGAATAAGTGGGTGAAGTAGTTATTAAAAGTGAATAAGTCTTTTACTCATTTAGAAAATAAAATACAATAAATTTGGCACCTAGAAGATGAATAACAGTTTTTCAGTGTTCAATTCTCTTCGAGGTATATACATACGACCAAGGTAAAAGTAAATTTACAATCTTTTACAGATATCAGTACATAAAAGTGAACACAACATACTGAATTGGTTGAAGTCAACTGAGAGATGACATAACAGGACAAAAAGGCAAAATTATATCTTCAACTCATCGTGATTCTTATTAAACATTACTTTCGTTATTTTAATTCTATATGGTGATTATGCAGTGCGCTATTCTATTTAGTTTAACGTTAATCTACTTCAGTGTAATATTTATTTAGGATATGATATTCTCTGGATAAAATTAACGTGAACTATTCAGCATGAAATGCCGCATGCGATTTAGCTATAATTTTATATATGTGACTGTTTACTGATTGATGATCAAATATGTATAAATGAGTGCATTTTCGACTAGAGTCGTAGTTTTGTTTTCGGTGTGAACAAACCTCAACTTATACCAGTCTTTCATGTTCTTGCTTTGAGTCATGGAAATTGTAGTGGTTCCTCGTTCCACGAATAAGTAATAAGCGACTCAGACATAACAAGAAATTACAGAGAACTCCTCTATTACGAAATCAAACAGTATGTAGTACGAAATATACTAGGATATATGAAATGAAACCATCATATTTATTGAGGAGCCAATTAGAATATGTAAGTCAAATTAGCATACTAAAGAACAAAAACAAGACTTACGTGGAGAACTTGATACTAGACTAAATACATTATAAACTTCAATGACACCAGAAGCTAAACCCAACAGTAATAATGAGACTTGTGATTCACGAACAATAGACGATCTACGCTTATTTGCACGGTGGGGCAATCGACAAAATGCACTATCCCCAGAGGCAAAAGTCATACTAATCACATCTCCGTTAGTTTTTATACGAAATATTGGTTTCATATTTACAGGTAGTGCATCACCATGTAACAGTTCTGATGTTAATATTTTCCAGTTATTACTACTATCTGTAAGATTTGCATATAAATTTAATGATTCTGTATTGTTAATAATTTCATCTGACAATAAACTAGATGTTTGACAATGAGATGATAAAGATGGTTTGAAATTATTTTCATCCAAGCACGTTGATCTATGTAGAGTAGCACAAAATAATAAACCGTCAAGCTTGTTATTATGGAGGGTTTGTGGAGATTATCAAAATCTAAAGTTTACATAACGGATTGACATTAGTTAGATAGTAAACAGACACGAGGAAGAACTGCACAGGTATAATTAAGGTCAGTCTTTGATGCAAAAAATAAACTTAGTGGTTTATTATTGTTGTTATTATTCACCAGAAGAATGAGGAAAGTCTGTAATATAAGTTAATGCACAAATAATGCAGAATCCCATTCAAGTCTTTGAATATTTTATTCAGGTAGTTTAGTAAGGAGTTTTATCAAATTCAAAAGTAATATTCGCCATCAATTAACACTAACTGAAAAACTGAAGATTTAAGGGCACACTGAAGGTGACTGGAAAATTCGATACTGTATGAAGTAATGTCTTATAAGTAGGATAAAACAGTTGTGTGCCTCCTAGTCTTCGCTTGTTCTACAACTGATATTGACTAGTTTTAGAAAGTACATTCTAAAATTTTTAGTCAAACATTTTACAGTAGCTGCTTGAATCATTAAACCGATGGGCGACGTAGGATAGTGTGAGTTAATGTAGCGAATTAAACTAACGATAGTTATAGGAACTAAAAGAACGGTGTATATGCATTATTGAATCTCCATCTATCTTTGTATTTATTGATAAAACAACTTTCATAAAATGTCTAATTATTTCACCATATGATGTTGAATGTAAGTTTACAATGGTGATATTACATAGCTACAAGTAGATTTTGAATGCAATTGTGTAAATTCTGTACCAAATAGTTTATGTATTTAGCTTTGAGTCACCCCGTTTGTATGATAGTGAATGATAAAACTAACCAACAGCTTGAACTAAAAAGGTGAATCATCCAAGGGAAAGTATTCTTTAAGTTTTCGAAACAACACGTTTATAATACTACTCAGCAACAGTGACTACTTAAAATTAACAAATATTTTCGCTGAAATTTACACGAACATTATTGTTATAAAGGATCTAGAAGTTTGCACAAAAGGAACTCACGAAAACAGTCTTAATACAGAGTCTATATACAAGAAAAGAAATATTCAACTAGGGGATAGTTAAAGTATATATATACATATGAGCCAGAAAAACTTACAGTATGTCATTTACACAGTAACCCAAGACAATCTGTGGCTGATCAACAAAGGCGAAGAATCGACCGCAATTAGAAAAACTGCAACTGGTGATATTATTTTGGTGAGCACCATGGTAAGCTATTGTTAAACGTAAGGGAATTTCATTAAAATCTGTACGCGAAAAGAAAACATGGTGGTATTTTATAAAACAATAAAATTTCTGAAATGTTAAACAATAAAATGAAAGGTACAGTGATCGAAATGATTTACTAATGAATGAAAAGATTAGTAAAGATAGACGTATTCAGCGATGGGATTACTTTTTTCCGGAATTAGAAAGAAATTGAGAGAAACCTAACAAGAAACGACTCACTAGGAAATAGACTAATGATATGGCTAAATGCGTTTAATCTTTGGTATACGAAATAACACCATAAACAGATAACGCTGCACCGAACATGGATACAGTACTGAAATTAGAAGCTCTTCTGGTCAGTAATCAAACATTGGAAAGGACCATAACATACAACGTCATTCCTATTTCTATGGACTAATGTCGAAAATTGATGACTGACAAGGATGGTGGGTCAGTGAGAATTTATTAGCTGAATCGTTGGTTAGTTTCTAATACATTATTCAAAAGATTGTCTAGTCGTGCCGCTTAGTTGTACACGTGTGATTAATAGACTGAAGTGTCTTTTGTAAACGAGAAGACACAAAAACTACACAATCTTTTTTCATTCCATAAATTTCCTCCTACTGTGTTGATGTAAGGTGTGGTAGCTTAGATTAACGCACACTTATCTAGTCTTGGGTTACCCGTAATAAACTAACACCACAAAATTTGGATAAATAGCTTAGTGGTAAGAGGGTTTGATTCCCAACCATAAAGCCACGGGCTCGTATGTCGCTCCGCCCATTTTATACGGGAAGCCAAGTAGTACTACTGACCCCTGGATGTGGCTTAGAGTCAAATATATATCTGGAATTCCATAATCAGTTAAATTAATTACCGACTGAGGTCAGAAATTTATAAAGTAACTATCTCCATAGCCATTGAAGTGATATGATAACAGTAATGTTCATTCTGGCCCTTCAATTTGTAATCCATGAGTCAGCTGGTTGGTCATAGATGTGTATTAGTTCGATTTACTGAACTTTACATCAACAAATAAAAGGGTCAGGGCCTCAATCTCTATTAACAGATTAGCCATCTTAAGCAGATACTGTGTACACTTAACACTACTCAATGGGTGAATCTAAAAGTGAAGTGCTACATACTACTGTGACAAACTTTTAATTCATTGAAACACTGCGATGTTAACAGAAGTGATGAGATTTTTGAATTATAGGTATTTTGGAGAAGCTAATCACTTTGCAGACCGAGAAACAGTCTTAACTCTATATAGTGTTACTAGTCACAGCTTAAATATTCCACCACAACCACTGACATTTTAGTGGTAAATATTGTCGGAAAAACTATTCTTGAAGAAGTACGACCTCAACTATTATTTGCTCGACTTATTTTTCGCTAGCATGATACATGGCAACGTTGAGATGAACAGTTCGGGGATTTCGTAAGTCTTATTGAAATATTGTGAACAATAATTCTACTGCAGTGTCCTCAAAACAGATTCATTACCTAGCTGTACAGTCGCATATAAAATAATGAGAGACTAGTTTTCATGTTTTTAATGTTCAGATGTCATTGTCAAAAGTGTTTCAAAATTGTGTAACCAAGTCTACGATTAGCTAAAAAACGAGACAGAAATTTGAGAGTGAGTGAAAACAAACGTTATATTCTGAACCAACAGTTTCTTGATTCTTAAATTCAAAAAGATTGGTGTATTGGATACAACTTGAAGTACACGAATTCTCCTGGAATAAACCTCTGATTGTCACTACAATATGAAAACATTTTTTAAATTTATGCCTGATGCTGAAAATAAGCCAGAGAAGTTAATGAAGAAACAGAAACAACCAACCATTGCCAACCATTCGCGAAAACCACCCAAAAGATTATAGTGGCCTTGCAATTATAAACCACCCTCTTCGAGTTTTCAATGCCCAATTGTCAGAGCTTCTTTGTGAAGCATTAGATTCAGATTTGTGTAGTAAGGACAGAAGGCCTACGGCCCATGTCATTCCTTTTCTAGTATGCTTCTCTGAGTGTCCAGTCTTCCCTTGAAAGTGTCAATTGAAGGTGCGGACACCAGTGCTCCAGGGAGTAGGTTCCAATTATTAATGACTCGGTGTGAAAACCTGTATGCCATGGGTATTTTGTTCCTTCTTGGCTTTTCTACTCGTCTGATATGTCCTCTAAAGTGTCCCGATCTAGTGGGAAGAAAGAGAGAGAATAAGTTAGGTCCGAAATCCTTTTTCAGTATTCTGCACATCAAAATTAGATCTCCCATTAGTCTCCAATAGGACAGAGTAAAAAGGTCCAGTTTTTCAAGCCGCTCTTTGTACGATAAGCCTCGGAGTTCTGGAATTGCACGGGTAGCTGCCCTCTGTACTTTTTCTAGTATGTCCGAGTCACCTCTTAAACAGAGGCTTGCAGCCTGAACGCAGTTCTCTAGCTTAGTTCTCACTAAGAATGTGTATACTGTGGTGAACATGGTAGTATCTAACTTAGTGAATGTCCTTTTTAAAGCCCAGAGGGTTCGAAACCCCTTGGCTGTGACCTCCCGGCAATGGGCCGTCGTCTTAAGATCATTACTCACTGTCACCCCTAGATCCTTATGAGACCGGACTACGGGTAATGACACATCCCCTATGTTGTACGTATTAACCTTTGAATCTCCCAAGTGCATGTAGACACACTTTTCCGCGTTAATAGGCATCAGTTACTCTTTAGATCAGTTTATAATGTTATTTAAATCTACCTGAAGAGCACATGCGTCTTTGTCTTCAGTTACTACTCGCCAGATTTTTCGTCGTCAGCGTATAATAACATTGGGGACTTTACTGTACTTGGGAGATCATAAACGTACATTATAAAAAGTAAAGGACCTAGGACGGAACCATGGGGTACTCCACTAAGTACTGGTCTCCAGATGGAGCGCTTGAAATTTGTTCTTAATTTTTGTCTACGACCTACTAGGAAATCCTTAATCCATTTTTAAAAATGTCCGGCAATACCAAGGTTTTCCAACTTCAATAGCAGTCTATTAGTTGGTACCTTGTCAAAAGCCTTACTGAAATCTATGTAGACAACATCCAGTTAGTTTCCGTTGTCTAGTGCATTAATCCAGAGCTCCCTTGCTATAAGGAGGTTCGTTGTACAGGATAGAACCTTTCTAACACCATGTTGTGCCATGTTCAGCAAGTTACTGGTTTCCATAAATGCCGTTATTATTATTATCAGCTTTATTCAATATTATATTTTTGGTACAATATAGAATTCTCAGCGAAAAGTATTTCAACGAGTTTCCGTTTCTTTCTTCTTGGTCGGTCCTGGCGATAAATATTGAGTGATCGCCAGTTAGATGTAAGCAGTCCACCGAATGAACATCTGAATAATGTGCATTCTTTTCGTTGTATATTGCCAGCAACCACATTGTCTCTTATTGAGTTTTTTGTAACTTTGACAACAAAAGGTTGTACACTTTTCAGAAACGCGGCAGAATAGGTTATGCGACTAATAGACATAACGATATATTAAAACAAACAAAAATAGATAACTTGTTGAAATATCTAGATGGCAGGAATAGGTAGCCCAGATGCTCAAGCAGGTCCATTTGATTATTCTTTCCAGTATTTTAGTTACAACACTGGTGAGACTTACGGGTCTGTAATTCGATGGAACTTGTCGTGGACCTGTTTTATGTATGAAAGTGACGTTTGCGTCCTTCCAGTGCATAGGTAACACACCTTGGTCAAGTGACATATTGAATATCACAGTCAGTGGGGTCGCGATATATTGGGCAATATGTCTCATGGTTTTGGGGTGTAGATCATCTGGTCCTGTTGACTTCTCCATGTTTAGGGTGCCAAGAGCCGTAAGCACATCGTTTTGGTCGAAGTCCACGATGAGCAGCTGGTTTGTTGACTCTATTTGGGTCTGGTTCTTTCTCTAGAAGAGGTTCCTGAGTGAAAACTGCCCCAAAATAGTCAGCCATAGCCTCTGCTTTTTCCTGATCTTCCTCTATCATTTCAGACTCACTTCCTACTTTAATAAGTTTAGGAATCCAATGATGCATCCTTGTTCTGTAGTCTATGTACGAGAATATTCTCTTAGGCTGCTTGAGTGCATATTGTGCCAGCTGCATTTCATATTTTCTTTGAACTTCCCGAATTTTTGTAATACACTCGTTTCTTACCAATCTGTAGCGTACCATCGTACCTGCTGTGCCAAGGCGGATGGCAACATCCCAACATTTCTTCTTTTGTCTTAGTAAACGTCGAATATCCCGGCCTATCCAAGGATGGCCATGCTTCTTCTTCTTTAGAACTGTCCAGGGTATGTATGGTCGAGTTACCCGATTGTATAACTGCCTGAAAAGGGTCCATGCCTTTTGTACTGATGCCCTTGAGTCAATTTCCCAGTCTTCAGCCGATGCTGCGGAATTAATTGCCTGCATATCTGCCTTCCATATGTTAGGACGGGCCGGCACAACTGTTTGACAGGCAATCTCAGCCATGAATTTGAATAATACGACTGTATGGTCACTTCTCCCTAGTGGTGGGAGGAAGTTCATCTGACCAACGTTATCACCATGTGTGAAGACTAAATCTAAAAGAGAAGAAGAGTTTCTTAAGTCATATCTTGTGGGGTTTCTAATGTGTTGGAATAAAGCTAATCCAATCGAGGTTTCTAACAGTTTGCAGTCGAACGACGTTATCGATGATCCTACATCTAAGTTAACCCAGTTTATATACGGTGCATTAAAGTCGCCTACTACAAGGCTTTTACCCTTGTTACACCAGGACTTGTAGTGGCTGTGCTTCGATGATTAATCACCCTCGAACCGTTATCGTATAATCTTCAACGATGTTCGAAATCAGAAGGCAAAAAGAAGCAGCTACTACAGTTTATTTAGTAGATAATTCGGACCAGACAGCAGAGAGGCAAAATGAATGAGCAAGCGAATTACGATTGTAGCAGTAGCAAGTAGTTGTAGTAGTAGTAGTGAATGGGTGCAAATGTACATATATATATATATATATATATGTATGGGAAAATGGATGAGTCAGCGAATAGATTAAGCAGTTAATAATGAAGCTAGCAGAATGAATACATGCGTAGGCGCTAAACAATGTTCAAGCATATGTATTTCATACAAGCATAATAATAAAGATAGTACAACAAGTTGTTATATCATGGATGACTTTGTATATTAAATAGGTCAACAAAAGACCTTGACTGAACTAAACTCAATTGCACGTGAGTCGCTATAATAGCTCCCCCCTGCAAACAAAGATATATGGAAAAATGTCTGTGTTTGCACAAAAAAGTAGTAAACGGAGTAGGGTAGTTACAGTCGTTTAAAAAAATGGTTTGTACAAAATTAAGATGAAGTTAGTGTGTGCTGTACATTTGGTTTGTGCCCGTCCGTGAGGTTATAAAAAATAATAGCAATAAATAGAAGGAATGCGGTATTGTTTTTACATTTTAAACAAAAATTATACGAATAAGTGTTAGGGTACATAAGATACGTTGAGTTTTATAGCGTATAACATGAGCTTAATAATGCGTGTGTATACAATGAAGTGGAAGTTATAACTAATATTTAAAATAGTAGATCATTAATAAAAAATCGTAGCGACATATTGTTGGGGCCATCTTACTCTGCGGCCAGATCTTGTTGTTATCGGAGTCTTGTCTTTTTGTTGCGTTAACGTCATTGATTCTTGCGACTCGTGTTTCGCCGGTGTGACCATCTTAGAGGAGTTTGTACTTGTTGATTGAATATGGCTATCGATAAAAGCTGGCTTTACTCGATCGATGCTAATTACATCTGTCTTCCCAGCTTTCTCTATGGTAACTGTTTTATTCGTCATCTCTATCACTTTAAATGGGCCATCGTAACTCGGTTGTAGAGGTGGTTGTACTTTGTCTCTTCTAATGAATACGTGAGTGCTGTTATGCAGTTCTTGTGGTATGAATACTCGTCGTTGTTGTGGTCTGGGAGGTGTTATTTTTAAGTCGCTCATGTGTTTTCTCAGGCGTTGCACATAGCCGGTTACATCAGTCGGAACACCTTTACTTGGAGTGAAAAATTCTCCGGGTAACCGTAGAGTAGTTCCGTATACCAACTCGGCTGGACAACATCCCATGTCTTGCTTAATTGTTGCTCTTAGAGCTAACATTACTAGAGGAAGTTTATTAGACCAATCGTTGTTAACAATGACGGCTGTAAGGGACGCTTTTAATTGCCTATGTAGGCGTTCGACCATTCCGTTTGCCATTGGATGGTACGATGTATATATACGATATATACGATATATATATATATATATATATATATATATATATATATAGGAAAATGGATGAGTCAGCGAATAGACTAAGCAGTTAATAATGAAGCTAGCAGAATGAATACATGCGTAGGCGCTAAACAATGTTCAAGCATATGTATTTCATACAAGCATAATAATAAAGATAGTACAACAAGTTGTTATATCATGGATGACTTTGTATATTAAATAGGTCAACAAAAGACCTTGACTGAACTAAACTCAATTGCACGTGAGTCGCTATAGACTTAAGTTTACTTAGGAGAAAATCATCTGCTACACATTCTGGACTGCGATATATTACAACTAATTCAATATCCTGCCGTCTACATTTCAGCTTATATCGCACCAGTTCACATGTCCCTGAAACATGTGCCACTGTCTCAACTACTCTTATGATTAGGGTACTTTTCGTGTACAGGATAACCCCGCCTTCCCTACGGTTTAATCTATCAGCCCTATTGCTTAAAAAACCAGTCAACTGAATTTCATTTTCTTATACTTCTGACGTTAACCAAGTTTCTGAGACAGCAATAACATCCGGTTTTTCTTTATCCACCATTGACTTCAGCTCCGCCATTTTAT